CAACGTCTTCAACGCTGACAGCCACATAAGCCCCCGACATGGGCTATTTTCAAATGGAAGACCATTTTCGGAGATGCTTGACCAGCTATGCTCGGCTACGAAACGTCTCCTTGCGTATCGTCCGGCTGTCCTTCAATCTTGAATCCATTTACTATCGAAGTAGTGATATTAGATCATGTAATAAGAAAATCGAGGCTTGGGTTTTTAGAGAACTAACCAACGTTTATAAAGACTGACCTCAGGACTTGAAAGAGTTCTCAGAGAAGCAGGAGTCCATGAAAGGCAGGAAGTGAATGGGATAACTGGCTGTGGTCAGATTCCAAACATTCACGGGTAGGACGAATATTTCTATCCTTTTCGTATATAAGAAGATTTTTGTAGAAACCCCTATAGCAAATTATAACTACGTGGCGGTTCAGCTAGTAATAACTGTACAATCTACCTAAATCTCTCCAACATTCTTAGACCCCCTTCTGGTTCTCATAAAATCCTTTTGGCGTTAGCCGTTTCTAGACCGGTTGTGATTTTTGCATGCTATGCGCTTGACCTTGCAAAGCGCGCTGCTTGAAAACCTTGTCCTGGACGCGAATATTAGTCATATTTACACTCGAAGCAATTAGTGCTACAGTATACCAACCTTGTATTCAAGTGTAAGGTGTCGTTACTGGTTACAATAAAACAGCTGCTTTCTTTGTTTCTGCTTCATTTCATGTCACCCGCGTGTCGTTCCGTGTTTTCGTTGACAAATTTCTCCATTCGTACTTCAGGTGAATGTCGGAGAAGGAAGAGCGGCCGTCACTCCGGCCGGTTGCATTCGCCGCGGTCGTCTTCTCGACCGTTGCACTAACAAGTTGTCTCCTCACTTTTCCAATGATACTACATTATGTGCAGACCCTCGAATCTCAAGTACAACTCGATCTGGAGTACTGTCAGGTGAGAAAGCATGAAAAAATGAAGAGAAAAGGGAGGAGAGCTCACAAATATGTTATTATTATGTTAGCATCCCACTGTAAAGGCTTTTAACCAATTTAGAGCCGCAAGTGGCTCGTAGGCCGGTGGGGAAAACAAGCATTTCATCGAGCGAGAAGTTTGCGCCATGGAATGCCGTTGCTTTCCACTGGCTTTTCCACGATTTTCCGTTCTCTCTTCAGGCTCCTCTACCTAGTTGCTATCCCTTTCATGGATATAACTTTGGCCAACTGAATAGGAGGTGCATTATAGTAGTATTTTAGTAATTTGTGCCGTGCACTGTGATCCAAATTTGTGCAGGGGAGTAAGCTCTTGGAGTTTGAGTCACATCGCTTTCGCTTTTATATCCACCCCTGATCTTCCGCACCTTGCCAAAATCGGGTTTGCTGTAGGCAGTAACATCTGCTGCAGCAACTGTATCTCTAGTACATAAGGACCCCATAACTGAGCACGGCCGAAAAACTTGCTGAAAAATCTGTGGATTTCCATTTCCTCAGAATGGACTACTTTTTCTTCAATATGCAATTTTTTGAAACTTCCGACTAGTACTTGAAAGTGAAACTTGCCAAAAGGATGCTACGAGGGAAAAGCTTCCCTACCCTAGTCCTGCAAGTTTACCCACCGGAATGTGAGGAATAAATCCTTCTATTCATTATGTAAACCACTAGCTGGGTGTGTCGTTCTGGGTAGGTCGGTCGGTGTCCTTCTGCGATTCTGAAAAATGGAGTAATAAAGCGGCTGACGAACTCAGCCATACCCCAACCAAACCGGAGATCCTACAAGTCTTAGGTTATCAGAGCTTCGCAAGCTCTCGTTCGGGTGCTGCGGTGGAGGGCAGGGTGGCGGGGGATTGAGAAGGAAAACCTACCGCGAATACAGCTAGGTCGAAGTTTCTGCTGAGATAACGCTTTGACTTTATTTTATGATTGGGGTGAAACACCCACCGACCGTACTTTGACGCTCCGAATAGATAGCTTACGTCGTACATGGAGAAAGAGGGTGGTGGTGGAGACAGCGAAAGCAACTGCCAATCAACCCAAGTTCTACATCAGTACTGACCATCAAAAGTTTATGTTATGATCGCAACAAGACCCTCCACTATAGAAGGAATACTCTTTATACAATACATACGGTTCCATTTTTCTAAGTGTTGACCTCACAGTTCCACGACATTTTTATGGAACGGGACGTCTCGGCTGGGGGAGAGGCAAAACTGGTGTATACGTAACTAGCGAACCCGTTTCAGGCTCGTGCACGAGACATGTGGAAGGAAATGCTGAACATTGAGACTGGTGGCAAACGTGATGTGGCGAAATTGGCCGACATTGTGATGACTCACAGAAGACTGGAGAAAAGGTAAATTGATCTGGCAATAATTATGCAGCGCTGGAGGGAGCAAACCTTACTACACTCAGAAAAGTGTATTATTCAACTATTCTAACTGAGAATTCCATAAAAATTACCATAATTACCATAGTAAGCGGTAGATAGGGAAGTTTACACCGACTTTGGTGAAAACGAGAGTCGTGTCAAGGCAACGCTAAAATGGTATCAGATGGCGCCTAAAATTAAAAATAAATGTCATTTTCGTAATCAGGGCATCGAATTACCACTATGGCCAAAGTTGCGGTAGCCTTTGTAGGTGTGCGCAACTACGGAAGAAATGGAGCTAACTGCTATTGGTGTACGGGGAATGCACCACAAAACATTATGACTCGGTCCCAAGCGGTCCTGGAGACGGGGGAACATGAGACCGCCGAACAAAGCGCAGGTGTTCATTTTCACGTGAAATCTGGGCTTGGCTTATCCGCGCAGAACATGAGGCATTTTTATGTACGACATATTGACAATAGGCGCCGAGAAGTGCCTGTATGCTGGAAACGAAGAATGAGCAGTCATGTTTCTAAAGGCATGTTGCCGAGACTAGGGCCGCTCTTCTGTAGCATCGCCGAGCGTAGTGGACAGGCGGACAAGCGCTTAGGTCGTGCCCTTCTTGCGGCTTTAAAGTGCGCGTTAAAGACGCTAGAAGTGCGTGCGATCCATACCCTTCGCCTTCGAGCTTCGGATAGCTCTTTCAGTGTCGGCTTCAAGTGGCGGCGAAAAGTGGCGGGTGGAGTTTGCGGCAGTGGTTGTACATGGACGGGCTATGAGTGTATGGTACTGAGAAGCAACTGGAGTTGCATTCATGATCCTCCCACGCCCTCTCTCACTTCCACAAGGTGTGCGACTGCATAGAGAGATCCGTATTCAGGTTTCCAAGCCGCCTCCCTTTCCAGACGTTACTGAACGACTTTACCACGGAACCTGCCTTTGATTTGCTGCCGTCTGCCAGAATTTGCCCTTATTGGGTGGCACCTATTTCTACCGATTTCGCTGAACTCATTACGCTGAAATGCCATGAAGGTTGCTATTTAGCGTCCGCACTGTTGAATGCCTGTTTTTGAGCTAGAATAGCCGCTTGCGCTTCACTGACATAGAGCATGAAGCTAATTAAGGGGGCGAGGCGGGGATATTTCGCAGCGGTTGCCGGCGCCCGCACGGGTGGACAACAAAGGAGAGTGTGTGAGGTCACAGGGTGACTGGTTACTTATTCTTTGAGCAATCACTACCCGCAAGGCTTACGGTTGTTGCTGGGCGTCATCTAAAAGGTGAGAAGGAGCAGAAGAGGAGAGAAAGATCGCCGAATGGTGCTGGCATCAGAAAATTTGAAAGTCGAATTCTTCAATGGAACGACGACGGTTCACCCTTATATCTACAGCACGGCGAATTCGGTGAAAAAGGTGTTGTACCGAATTGATGCAACTTGCGAAACGGCATCAACATCAAAAAAGAATGCCATGCTCGTTATCAGAACGCCTTCAACTTACGACAATGAGCCAAAAATGAATGATGGAATAAATTTATCTTGAACTTTGGGTTGTCAAATACTGAGCTAGTTTACAATGAATTCCACTCTCTGCAACCTGCACATAGTTCACACGCACGTCTTACACCCTATCGAGTGCAATTCAATTTAGGGAGGGACACTACTTAGATATTTAAATTTCGAATCACTGGAGAGGCCACTCCTTTGGACTTCAAGGTCGCGTTAAGCGTATGCATCGAAACGACGGTGGAGTGTCTCGGCCCCCCCCCCCCCCCATCCGATACCCTCGACTATATACATACATTCAGGAATGGTTATTCATGACAACAACCACCTAATTCAGTATCAACTTTGCCCCATGTCTCAGTATCTGCCCTAACTCTTGAGAAACAGTTGTATCATACGTTTCAGAGACACCCTTGCTGACTTCTGGGCGCGCCGTCTTCACGATCAGGAGCTGCGTGACGAACCTGTTGGATACGATACTCCATCAGCCGCTGTTGAAGCGGCGGTGCAAGGTGGCGGTGCACAAGGATGTGAGTTTTCATCACTGACGGCTGAGCGGCTTTCGCTGTCATCTTATCTTTCAGGCTGCACATGTAATCGCGGACCTCCTGGCCCACCTGGCGACCCTGGACGAGATGGAGCAGATGGCCTAGATGGCAATCCTGGCGATATTGGACCTCCTGGACCACCAGCACCTCCTGGTCCCGACCCCATGTCACTGTTTCCACCGCAGTGCCCATGTGAAGCGCCTCCTGGGGACCCTGGTCCTAAAGGACAACAAGGACCAGATGGTCCTCCTGGCCCTCCGGGCGCACCTGGAGAGGATGGCAAACCAGGAGATCAAGGAGCACGTGGAAATCCCGGAATGCCTGGACCACCAGGTCCGACCGGTCGCCCAGGTCCACCTGGAGAGCCGGGTACTTACAAGACTGAAGTTGGACCAGCGGGAAGACCTGGCGCGCCTGGCCGTCCAGGGCCACCAGGCCAGCCTGGCCCACCTGGTGGACCGGGTCTGGACGGAAAACCAGGTGCGCAAGGACCTCCAGGCATGCCAGGTCCTCCTGGACAACCTGGACAGAATGGACAAGCCGGCCCTCCAGGACAGAATGGAGAGAATGGTGCTCCAGGCTCCTGCGATCACTGTCCTCCTGCGAGACTCGCGCCCGGTTATTGATTTTCTAAAAATCCGATAAATGTTGTAAGAAATTCACTGTTCTATATCGTTACTGCAGCTATACAAGGTGGCCATAATTTACGGTAAGAGGATTAAGTGGTCATGGAAAACCTGTAACAATAATAAAGACAAGTGGAAAACAAAAATATGTTCATTGAGTGTTACTAAACGACAAACCCACCACATTGCAAAAGCCATGCGCCATGCCACCACCAACCTTCTAAGCAGCTCTTATCCACCTTAAAAAATTAAGGGAGTCTTCAAGTAAATGAGCTGACCGTGGCGCAGGGTCAACCCTATCGTTGTTACTCTTTGGAAATTTTTTACGACCCCCCCCCCTTCATGGGTGATTTGATACGACCCCCCTTGTATGTGACACTTGTGTAGAGACAGTGTTTACCATCAATATTTATTTCTACGTAAGTCATCAAAGATGAAACTTTAGCAAAATCCACGACAGATATTCATCGCTGCTTCCAAACACGAAAAAATGAGATGCATTCAAAGATATCCGTGTACTCCAAAGGGTTACCAAACTAGGAGATGAAATAAACTGAACCAGTGACCGGAATATTGACAATATTACCTGATAAAAACTTATGAGAAGTCAGAAAAAATTATCGCTCCAATTGAAATACTGAAATCCTTCACGTTCTTTGCTTACAATTTATAACACCCCTCCTATACGAAGTTATGCGCCGAAGCGTGAGTGGTTAAGGGGAAATTCACAATTATCTCCTCTCTCCACCCATGGGTAATAACATTTTCCGAGAGTGTATTCTCCGAAAGTTAATTTAATAAAAATTTAGTACGTTTATTACTTTTTTCTGTGCAAATGCGACTTTTAACCTTTAAACGATCATAACTTTGTTCAAAGTCATTCATTTGGGAAGCTGAACACGGTATGACAAACTACAGGATTCAAGCTTTCTTAGAGCACCAAAACGTTCCTGAAAAGTCAGCAGTTCAAAAAATTAGTCCCGTTGTTACTTTTTTGAGGGGTATTCTTCAAGCCATTTTCCCGAAAACGCGGGTTTTCTTAGGCTTCACT